ATTTCTTTGCATTGGCTCTCATTGATCGAGTCGGGAAATTAGAAAACTGATGCAGTTTACGAACCTGTTGCTATTTAATCTAAAAAGCCTGTTGGTCTCTAATTTAAACCGTCAAGTTTTTGTGGCGAGGTCCTGTTAATCTAAGCTAAAATACACCAGCAGCTTGTCAAAAATCACAAACTGTGGTGGGCATTTTTACTCCTTCATGGAGGGGGATTTTTACTCAGGGAGCACTGCTAAAACACTCTTGTTGACTGCAATATTAAACTCTGCCTGTTTGACAGTAGAAAGTGAGCAGGAGTCAGGAGAAAAAATCAATAGGTTAAAGCTTCACTGCATGGCAATTACTTCAAGAGTGGGAGAGGGTTTTAGGAATGCAATAAAGCACATTAGGGGCCTACTGTGACTAACATTTTCTTTGCACCGTAGGAGACACACAGAATGTTAGAATGGCTCAAAATTTAATTTAAAATACTTTTGTCGAATCTCTGTTTACTTACACTAGCAGTGTTTTTTTTTCTATTGCTAGTTGAGCAACCAAGCAATCATCACTACAAGACTGACATAGATAGTCAATAATAGTCAATAGGTCAGATGACCTCAGTAATGCTATCGTGCATTAGGCACAGGTGTGAGAGGGCACAACTGTCCCTGTGAATAACCAGCATTAGCATTGACGTACACACCGTATTTGTGTAAACTATCACACACATACACACGTTCAGTTGTGTTTCTGTAAGATGGCAGGCTGGATTTTGACTTCAAACATGGTCAGGGAAAAATGTCACATTCACCACTTTTGGGAAGTCGGACTGTTATTTTACCTCAGTTTGCCGGGTCTGAATCTTTCGATGCATCGTATATCGTAGGGCATTGTGCGTGACTGAACTCCTAAAACTGTGTTTTTCTACACGGTTCCTGCTTCAGCCCAGTGTCCTCTGTGTGGAGAGAGCTTTGCGTGTGGACTGCAAGGCAAGGATCTGTCATTGGAATGAGAGTTGCACATGCGCATTTGAAAACTTGATCCCAACAGTCCTATATCAATATTCCTGTATTGCATTTTGTTGTAGATGTGTGTGGTGTTTTATTATTACAATGCTTGCTATTTGCATTACCTACAATTATGCCGATCCTATGTGTTTTTTTTTTTTTTTACAGGAAACAAGTATCTGTCAACTTTTGTCCTGTATTATGACATTACAAAAAATACGCAACAGGCTTTTGAACAAAAAACACTATTAATAAAAAAAGGCGTTCCCTTACTACTTCCCAAACTGCAGTTAATGGATTTGACACAATATGCAGGCACAAGGCATACAGTAAGGGGTCTATTTGGTATCCTTCTGCAGCTGCACAGGAAGTTTCAGGGGCTGTGAGAATATACAAAGGTTGATAGCAACATTAGTCAGGGCATGTTAAGTATGAGGCTTTGTATAGGTCTGCGCCACTGAAAGGTCTCAGCAGTGAGAGTACATAGCAGCAATGATGTTACCCACAAAAAGCCCCACTGTTGCGAAAATGTGCACGGTGTGTCATCACTTGGGTTAAGGTAGTGGGATTTAGTGCTGGAAGTTTTCTGCGTCCTCATGTCTCATCCGACCGTATCCAACCTGAGCAATAGCATCCTTCTTTCGGTTGCTTACAGGTTGGTAAAAAGGTGAGTATATAAACTTGATAGATCTTTGAAAAGCTTCCACATATAATTATGTATTCCGTAAAGCACATGTCGCAACCAATAAACAGGAAACACTGTGCAATAGGTGCAGACGAAGAGGTAAACATATGAACACCGACACACAAAGTTGAAGAGCTTGTGTACCACTGCAGCATCTGTTCAGCATATTAATTTGTTTGTGATCCCTCCAAGCTGGAGCTGGTAAATTGTCAATTAGTTTTTTGGGTCACGTCTTCTAAATCTGTCATATAGTTGAAGACATAAAGCTCCACAAATGATTACAATTTATCCTATAGTGGAATTAGTGTCTCCACAAAATCCTTTGTTTTGCCACAATGTAGAAATGATGACATCCTCAGTATCTCATGTCACTGCTCTCACCGAATAACAGCTTTGCCTGACTCCATTCTGTGAAGCAGACCTGATTCTTCACATATTAAAAAATCTTTCTCTATTTAGCGCCAACTTGAGCACAACCATCCTCATTCCCACTTCCTTATCATCTCGATTTTTCTTTGTGTCTCAAACAATGCACAGCTCTACACCAGGGGGTCAAATTCAGTGGCAATCAGTCACATTCTTGATGAGACAATATGATTTGCTGAACTGAACTGCAAGCAGTTACATGCACAGACACAAGCAATTAGTTCAGTTTAAAACTGGGCATCAGCGAGGGGTCAGAAATAAAAAGCAAAACCACCACAGATGATTTTCATCAACTATCCAACACCACCTTAGACACATATTTGGCTTTTGCTGTAGATTCCTGGTGCTGAAGAAGTTTATCTCGCAGCTCTAGTCTTATTTAAGGGTGTTGGTGTTTGAACATGATGAGAAACTGAGTGAGCAGGCATCCAAATACCAAAGGGGCCTCGGTACACCACGCCAGTGATGAGTGAGGTACCGGACCCTGTATTTATCTAGACTTTCCCACAGGGAGCAACAGCAGCATGAGCTGGTTTCCAGCTGATAGAACAAGATATTCAAGGACAGACACCATGGATCCACTCCTCAAATCTAGAGATCAGCACTGAGAATAGGGGACTATTGTTGGCAAGAACAGCTCAACCTCTTTAACTGGACAGCTCCAATAATACCCAGAGTTGAGAGTCAGATTTCTGGGATGATCTGATCAAGCGGAGGTATGCGTACAAAAAACACTCGCTAAAGAAACATCAACACTGCGTACCCAAGAGTAAGCCAAAGATCATTTGGCTCTTAAGCTTAGCTTTAAAAAAACGATTCACGGCTTTCATACATGGCTCTTTACTTCTATTCCTGTAATCATTGATTTGTTTTTACTGGGAATGTTTTTAACGGTTAAATAATGAAGGAAGTTATGAAGAGAATCAATCAGTGACTCAAAATTCATTTCAATAGTTCCACACCAGCATAACCGCATCAAGAGCCCTTCTTAAATAGGACCAAAGTTCTGATGGATGCTTTGAAAACTCCCATAATTCAAACCAGAGACAGCATGACAGCAAGATGGCAGAAAGTGGCTTGGGGTGAAATCTTGAAGCTCTATAAATGCAGCTGCTGCGTAAATTATATCCTCTCCCCGCGTAAAAAGACAATGACTTCTGAGCTGGCAAATCTCCAAACCACTCTCCCTCAACCTTCCCCTCTGATCAAAATAATGGGAAAGCAGGCTTCACATCACGCTCGCACCAAATTTATGGGTGTCTTTTCAAACACTTCTATCATGCTGAGAAAAATGTCAGGAAGGAGCAAAAGATCAATCTGACTACTTGAGATTGCATTTGCTTCTCAGGAAGAAGAAAGGTATTACATCATTCCAAAATGTGTATAGTTTCTCCTTTCCATCGTGGAAGTGCAGAATCCACGAGAGACAGAAGACAAAAGAGTGAATTGGACATCTCTAGTATGTTTTTCGTCTTATTCTGGGGGGAGAGCATGCTCTGGCAACACAGAGCCAGACACAGCCCTCTTTTTTTACTGGTAATTTGGCCCTCTATCCTGCAGGTTCCTCCTGTGAGACTGTCCTTGCAAAACGTGAATACCCTCACACTGTACTTAGCACTCTGCCTTGAGGATAGTAAAGGCAGAGACATGTGCCTCTTTTATGTTTTCAGCATCTACTGAGGGATGTAGGCTGTGCCGGTTGAACTAATACCCTACAAATAGGACTGTCAACAGATAATGACAAACATGTGTTAACGGGCAGCTAAACGGTTCTGCGAGGATAGAATTTTCCAACTGAGCTTTGTGACTCCAATTGCAAGTTGTGGATTAATGAGAATTTCAGTGAGCGCCCGGTCAAAAGGTTTTCTTTTGGACGGATGAAAAAACTTGGATAGAGGCAGGTCAGATGAAAAGTTGCCACACATCATCAAATCCTTCATCACTGAGAGTTCCACTGTTTTCTTGCCCCTTCTTCTGGATGTACACTTCTCAGCCGGCAGCCCAGGATAATGACGAAGGCAGGGGCAGCCATATGTTGACTGCCCCTCACAGAACTATGCCCCAGTCTTTCTGAGCAGCTGTTCAGCAGCAATCACTCATTAACTCAAACATACAGAAACACACATTCAGAAAAAAGACACACTCAATATCTGCCAGAAAAGTCAGCCAGAGGAACAGGCATCAAGGATGGGCTATGAAGCAAAAGGAGACATTGTGCGTGACTTTATTAACTTTCCACAGTCTGCGGATAACAAAGCGCACATGCAGGTTGATAAGACTCTTTGACATGCACACCTTCTCAGAATGGCTGTCCAGATGATTAGGTTCACCCTCTCCTACTTTCTTTGCTTCCAAAATCTGACCTAAATGGGCCACATAACACATGTAAAGTCACTCAACGGGACTGATAATGGATTGTCTTCCCCCCGAAGATTTTCTCAGCATCATCAATTAATAGCTGCATCTTCATCAGACACAACAACGCCATGCCTCCCCCTAGCGCCTATCTTCATGCAGACCGGCCACCTTGATCCATTAATTCAGTTCCATATCGGTTTAAGAGGAGGAACTTTCAGCCAGCCACTCTGAAGTGGCTCTGTTTAACAAATCAATACAGTCGCATCGCAAAAGAAGCGCGTCGAAAGAAGAGTGATGAGGAACGCTTTGGCTGCGACGCCTCAGCTTTAGAATTAAGCCATTTCTCTCTCTCCTCAATTTAATGACAGAGCCTCGGTCAACACTCAGGAAACATGACACACATAACAAACTTTTTGTACATTTACTAAAAGTTGGACTAACCCCACATCAGCACATAGGATTAAAACGGTCAGCTCGACCGAAAGTTGCGCGCTACAAACTTTCTGGACTCATTAAAAAAAGAAAAGAAAAGTGTCCTCACCTGAGGCGCACGCTATTCCAATCCAAGTCCGACAGAAAAACGTGAAATCTTTCTTCATCTCCAGATCTCCGGTCCGGAACCGCAGAAGCTCGAGCGGGTGGAAAGTGTTACCAGGTGGTTTGGGTGAGGGTCCGTGGCTGGGAGGCGGAGGGGGGACTCAGGTGAACTGGCCGGTTGGAGCGTGTGTTCGGACAACTCTGCGGCGGAGAGACCAAGTGCTGGAAAAAAGGAAAAATAACTTCCCCCCCACCCGTCTTGTCCAAAGGATGCATAAGGCACTAAATGGGATTTACAATGATTTCCCTTTCCTTTGCTCGTGACTGAGGCGCATGCACACCCACCCACCCAGTTCATAAAACAAGCTGAACTGGAGGAGTGTGGGATAGTTGTGGTGTGGGTGGGTGGGTGTATGCATTTTGGACGGGGGTTGGGGGGTTGGGAGGGGGGGTCACTCTAACATCCATGACAAATTTCCTTCCTGCTAGATCCCATCCGTCTCATCCTCCAGTGTGTTACTGGTGAAACCCCAGTAACACACTCGGTGAGGATGGTGAAGGTCCATTTAAAGTGCCCTGCCAGCACTACAGAGATGTGGGTTGCATGAAGTGCAAAACTACACTCATTTTGATTTCCATTTCACGGCTTTTTCAAAGAATGCCAGGGCGTCCTGACAGCTGAGTGGCTCTGCAGGTAACCCTTCAGAAACTCTGACAGAGCCTCCACAGGATGTACCAGATAATGCCACAGGAAGATTGAGTAAAAACACACTTCTGGTTCTGGGAGTGCAACGCTACATCCTTCGTTTTAGGTAGTTGTGTAATCCACTAAATGATTTACCTTAGTAGAACTAAATGTCAGAGCATCACTGTCTGTTCAGGTAAAGAATCTGCCAACGATTTGATGTAAAGACAAGGTATCTCCAGCATTTACGAAAACACGTTCCTCTTTAGCTATGGGAGGGCCTTTCTATTAAGAATGTGTAATTATTCATTCAGAGGGTGAGATGCTTCCAACGAAACTGAGCTGCAGAGATCTTCAGGCTTGTTTAAATCCCGTTAACCCTCCCCCCCTCCACCCACTCACCCATCCTCCTCGGGGAGTCTTCAAAGTGTGAATGAAATCTTGTACTTAGAGCAACGCAGGCCCCAGTGTGAGCCGCTGTCAGTCCTGTTTTATTTTACAAGGGAGGGGATTTTGAAAATTGAAAACCTGTGTACTCCCAAACATAAATAAGTCAAAGAGGGTTCAAGGGTTGTGACACGTGTCAAGTGTGGCTGCCTGCTTGTGAACTGTCAGAAGAGGCTGGAGCTCCGAGGAGCTGTCAAAGCATCTCGTGGAGAGCCGGCTGAAGCCAGCGTAATCAGCCCCACACAGCTTTACATTCCAGCACCAGACGTGTGCTGCAAATCAATAGTGTGCCCCTTCTCCACTCCATTACTCCAGTCCATTACAACCATATTACCAACATAGCAGACTCCAGATTTTTCTCCTCGCCCGGTCTCCAAAAGCACCAAACACCAGTGCATCCATCAAACAGCGGCTGTCGATAAGACCAATAAGAACAAATGTTTTTTCATCCCTGCCTTGATGTTGTCATTCTCATTTCTGAGACATGAAGAAATCTGGTGAGCTTGGAACAACACAAAGACTGAAGATCATTGCGTGTTTTTGTGGGCATGACCCCCCCCCCTCTCTCTCCAGATCCCCTACAGCAACTCACCTCTCTGACCCTAAAACACAATGTTGAGATTGGATGGTTGTAATTAAAATGTTCCCCTGGTTTCAGCCCTGCGGCGGCCTCGGATACGGAGGAAAATAAACACAGTGTATCAGGCTGATAGTCAAGCAAAGCCCTGGCATGGGAGTTCCCAAATCTCATTACAAATAGAAAACAGATTATGCTGCAAATGCACAAAAAAACTCATGAATGGCCACATCAATTGGGAACTTGCTCACATAAGCAAGTAAGACAATGGCAACAATAAAGTGCGATCGCCTCTGCTGTGTCAGATGAAAGGGTTGGACTGGTAGGACTTAAATAAGCCTTGCTGACTCCTGAGAGACAACGGAGGACTCAAGGACCCGTCCTTGAAAAGCCAGCACTCCATCCGGCCCATCCTCAGGCCAGGAAACACATTACAGCTCCACTGCTACTATCAGAGGAAGGATGTGGAGCGAGCAACAATTTGTCTGACCGAGGTACATGTCCACGGGTTTGTGCTCCGTACCGAGCCACTTTGAAGTGGCTGCCACCTCTCTGTTGAGTTGTGTTGTTTGACTTTGGTCGTGGCATCAAGTGCTATTGTACAGGAGTCTTACTTTCTCTTTGTAATGGTAGCACTCCCGATTTCAGATTTGTATTTTTACCAAACGATTGGCCGTGAGGCCAGTGGGTTGCCTGGGTGTCACACTTTCCTACACCATGCTGACCATCCACAGGTCATGGGACTTGAAATTGGAATGCTTTAAAGAACCTTTTGTTTTTCGCTTCATCAAATTGAGCCTGTCTGAAGCAGATTGTTTATGTTCTTTGAAAGTTTTGCGGAGTTCTACCAATGAAGTTATAAATTCTTCATTTTCAAGTATATTTCCCTTTATGAGCCTCTCCTAACTAGATCAGTGGTATAATCCATCACTAGAACTTTACCCTATGCACAAGGCATTGACATATCCCTAAAACCAACTTTGAGACTTGTTACATCAGTTAGATTGAATTTACCGAAGTGGCCTGTAGTGGAGAAACTAGTTCAAACACAGTTACACGTTTGTGATCGCCACACAAGTGTGAGTTCGCCTGCGTGTGCAGTGTCTGGTCAGTGTGTTACAGATTCATCCATTCCATGGATCTCCTGCCCAGGAAAAGCAGAGGTCCCCTTCTGGTGGGGTTCATTGTGCCACTTGTCCAATCAGAAAGGACTGGCAGCAGCATCCTGCTTTGGCATGCCCCAGAGGCCTGTCAAAAAGCCCACAGACAACCCCACTGTCAGTCTTGTTTGTGTGACCTTTCACCTGGCAGGAGGAAACAGGACGCCGGTGCTCTTGTGTGTTTGCAAAGATAACCCAGTGCCCTCCTGTTCTAGCTGTTCAAGTGTCAGAAATGGCTCATGCTTTCAAAAATTCCAGCCCAGGTGCAGCAGAGTCAACAACCCTCTGCTGTCTGTGCCTTTTCGATGCTCTTGGACTGCCATCAAACACAGAATACGCATTTGTACAATCAGCTTTGATGATGCCTAATAACATCCTTGATTAGTTCAAGTAGGGTTGACTTTGAGTGTCTGAAGGCCGTGAACGTGCAGGGCTGCAGAAAAGCCTCGGAGACAGCGTCCAAAAAGTTACTTGGTTTATTATTTCCATCAGAGGGTTTTACAAGAGCTGGGTTTTAAACCAGGAAGTGATTATGATGAATCTACAATGTGTACAGATTTAAAACACACAACAGACAACAATGAAAGAACAACACATTTTACACTGAAGCACATAAATGTGTTCAAAGTAACCCACTTCTGCAGAAATTAATCCAAACTGTAGCTCTTCATGTGACTTCAACAGATCACATCCAACAGAGAAGCTAACAGTCAAAACCATATTACTTTAGCTTAAAAGTATATAACACAAATCACCCTATCAAATATAAAACTGCGTGGTAAAGTGCCCCTTTTCTTTGTACTGATTAAACTCAAAGGCAATTAAAAACTTCTAAGAGTGAGACTGAGGATGGTCTAAGAGGATTAAGGATAGTATTTTCATCTAAAATATCAATCATTTACATCTCCCAAATACACCTGGAGGAAATTTGTACATGCACTTAGTGGTTTCAAAGCAGGAAAACAGTGCTTTATTGGGCAGAGCAGCTATGAACACTATGAACATAATGAGCCTCCTCAGAATGATTACAGCACAGAGAGGCTAAAAATCAAGCTCATGTCATATGACAAAATGATGCTGCCTTTTAACCGCTGACCGATAAGGCTCTGTGGTCTAGGTGTGAATGGGAGCTCTGGCTGTGCTCAGGCAGACAGGGGGGCGGCGGGGTAGTGCAGCAGCTTTATGGGCTGCGCTTTGTTTCGGCTGCCGCTGATGCAGGGGCTGAAGAAGGGGAAGGCTTTCCCCCTCGGCCCGTTGCTGAAGGAGTACAGCAGGCTCATGTCCGCTGCGTCGTAGAAGGACACCCTCCTCTCGTCGCAGTCCAGGTAGACGCCCAGCCTCTGCGGGGCCGAGCGCAGCTGCAGCCTCGTCCACGGCTGGGTCCCGGCGGAGTACTCGTTGCCGTTGCGCAGCCGCAGGGTCCAGTACCCGCTCTCCGGACTCAGCTTGATACGCGTGTGCCTGTCCACTGCCTCCGAGGCCACGCCCAGGTCCCACTTTGGGCTGGAGCCCACTTCCACTTCCCAGTAGTGTTGCCCTGACTGGAAGCCCTGGGCAGCCAGGATGTTGACGCACTGGAGGAAACGCTTTCCGTGGCTCGTATACGGGGTCATGACGTCGCACTCCACCGCCGCCGTTCGGTCCCTGGAGACGTGGATGCTCGGATGTGCTGTCTCAACATCGAATGTTAATGGGGAAGGCCCTGTTAGGGTGAAATAAGCTTTAATGACAGCCGTGATGGCACCCTCTACCACGAAACACATCAAATATGTCAAAACTGCCACTCTGAAACCACTTGGACACATTTAAAACATGCTCCTGCGTTTTAGCTCCTCTAATTTGTGTTTGATGGAGCCCATCAGGAGGGCAATTACCTTGCTTCAGGGAGCTGAACATCCTTCTCCATGTGATGTACTGTAATGGAGCCCAGTATTTGCTACTGAAAGCTTTTGTGTCAAAATCCAGGGCCACATCCACCTGCACGCAGGGTCTGTTAATTCAAAAAGGCAAACATGCATTTCATCCCATTTTATTAAAGACGAGTCAGATAAGCTGAAATGCTTCAAGCTAATACTGAGTCTCAGCTCTGGATGAGTGCTTACCTTAGCTGAGGGAGCTGTCAGAAACAAGATAAAAGAACAATTCATTAAAAGCAAGTTATTTGAATGACAGATCATTTCCAGATAAGACGTCCGAGTTGTTTAAACTTCAGCTTAATCTTTTGATTAAAATCCTCTCACCTGAGCTGGTGTCAAGTCCTCCATGGCAAGGTTAAACTGCTCCAGCACTCGCAAATTGTTCTCCAGCTCCCTCATGGCCGCCTCTGAGTCCTCCAGGTGGCGCCGCGTCTTCTCCAGCTCCTCCTCCTGCTCCCTCCTCAGCTGCTCCAGCAGGCAGGTTTCCTCATCCTGCAGGATCTGATGCAGGGCTCGGAACTCGCCTTTGACACGGGCCTGCAGATCTGACCCAACTCTCTGAGGTAGAAAGGATAATTTTAGGATTCTGTTTGTCTATTTTTCAGTGTTATTTGTGTTGCCAAGTGACCAACAACAATGTGCACGTCTCATGAGAAGCAGATGAGAGGTAGTGAAACTAGGACTGGATCCAGAGAGGAATTTTTAAACTGCGGATTGTTATTTCCTCTAAATCCCAGTATGGCATACACAGCTGATATGAACACAATACACCTAAATAAAACTTTTTATTTCTTCTAAAACATCTCATCCGTTAGGCACTGCCATCCCTTTGGACCCCTGCGGGGGCTTACCTTTATGATATTCATATTGTCTTTGTCTTTACAAATATTTTTGAAGACATCCTCCTTCCTCTGCCGGTACATCTCCAAAGACTCTTTCAGCTCTTTCTACAAAGCAGTACAATAGTGTAATCAGCATGGGAGATGATGGGAAAAAGAAAGAAATCATCAGCACAAAGACACATGGGGACAAATGAAGGAGCTTACTGTTAACAGAATAAATGTGTCATACTAAAAAGAAATGTAAAAGAGAGACAGAGAGGAATCCGATTTTGCTCAAGCAAAAACTTTCTCATTGTGTTTTGACACAGTTATGCAGTGGATCGATTTTTTTCTGGGAATTGGATTAAACTTCATCAGGTTCAAAGGTCAGTCTAATAAATTTGACAGGCAGCGAAGTCTGGTAATTAAATATAACATAATAGATCTGCAACCCAAACAACAGAGCAGAAGGCAGAACGGCTTCTAACTTTCCTCTCATGAACTGCTAATTTATAAATTACCATCTGGATCCTGAATTTGTGCTCAGCTTCCCCTTATATTTGCTGAAGAAATCAATGTTCTTATCAAATCTTGGGAACAACGCAGATAAGTGTGTTTCCCAAAATGTCAAACCATTCACAACAAAACGTCAATAAGGCTGAATAAGTAACTGAATTTAGAAAACAGTTTGATGATAAAGGAGGAAAAAAAGCACGTCAAATACAGAGTTTATTTACAGAATTTTAAAGAGGATGTTTTTAAAGCACCCAGGTGGTTTTATTGGTGTGGCAGTGCAGACTGATCCTTCTGCTGTGGTTATATCCTGTCAGACAAAGTCATATAAAAGGGAGTGAAGAGTGAACTTTGGCTCGGGCCGCTCCAACAAGATAGGTTCAGGATGGCATCTCGGTGACAAACAGATGTGAGCTGAAACATGGCCATCAGCTGTATTGATTTTAGACGGCTTAAATGTTAAAGTTTGCTCATCTGAAATTAATAAGTGTACTCTACGGTGTAGGCTTATTTGCATAAGGCTGCCAGACACAGGATAACATAACTACTATTAGTGGTAGAACACGTTAACACTCAATAGATGTGAAAGGAAAAGTAGGAACTCGCCTCGAGGTTCTTGATGTGAGCTCTTGAAGTGGTGGCACGGACCTTCTCCACCATGGCTGCCACGAGGTAGTTAGTTTGGAACTGTTTGGAGCTGAACTCCTTGCGACACTGTGGGCAGGTGACAGGCCCGTGGGCTCCCCTCCAGTATCTGGAGATGCAAGATTTGCAAAAGTGGTGCATGCAGGACAGCATGACGGGCTCCCGAAACAGATCACAGCATATGGCGCATGTCAGGTCCTCCCTCAGGCTGCATTTGGAGGTTGGGGGGGCGGTGGCCGCAGCAGCCATGCTGTATTTTTTTCTTTCCTTTTTTTTTCTCTCTCCAAAGTCTGCCCAAACTCTGAGGAAGTGAAACCAACAGTCTGGAACAAGAGAGGAACCAAGGACAAATAAATCTAATTAGTTCTTTCCTGCTAAAGTGATCATAAGAACAACATTTCAAAGTTTACTTTCTTTTTTCCCTTTTAGATCACCTGTCAAACACCGATGACAAATAAGTGCAAACAACTGTGATCATTAGGGTATTGTCATGTTTTTACATAGCGCCTATTTTGATAGTAAACTACTTCGGGATTAACCATAATCAGGGTGACTTGCAACGAAAATCAGGCGGTACATCACGGGTCTCTGTACACCAGCTTGTGTTTTGTGTTGCGAAGGGGAAAGTGTGGTCAGATTGTTTATTTTTGCCCTGTCTGGAGCCTGTTAGCGTTTAGCCGCGCGGAAGTAGCTCAAATTAACACAAAAAGCACTGGCGCGTGACTCTGTAATGTGGCTACCATTACGTCCGTTTGGCTAACACTTGAACAAACTTACTTTAGCTGTTGTTCGTAGAAATGGGAATCCGAACACTTCAAAGTCCCACCCTACAGCTGAGCTCCGTGGTCCGTCGCTGTTCCTGCTCACCGCCACAGAGAACAAGACGTCCAACTGTTCTGCGCATGTGCGTGCCACAGACCCATGTTTGATTGGTTTATTCGTTTCACCGCAAACGTCTCACAACAGGATGCAAACGCATATACCGATTTTTTTTTACTTTCTTAACGTCTTTCGATAACACGCCACGCTCAAACCTGGAAGCAATAGCATTTGTACTTTTTCGATGTATATTAACAAAAAGGGAATAAGGGGTTAGCCAAGTTCCGAGGAAATGCCTCAGTTAGCATGTAGTTAAAAGAATTGCACATTTTTAAAAAAAAAAAGGATTGCAAATTGTGATTTGTGAAGTCTTTTCATATCACTGATATGTACCTTTGTGAATGATGGAAATAGTAACTGCATAATGGTGTTCAGTAGACTGTTCAAATATTTGGTTTTGGACTATTGTAAATAAATGCTTATCTTATCTTAAGTAATTAATGCATGCAACAAATGGAAGTCATTTCCAGGCCAATCCCTCAATTACGTGCCACAAGGTTAATGATTTTACACAAGTGATAATAATTGCCCTGAAATTCATAACATGGTTTAAATGGCTCTTCGCTGTTTTGAAAATGTTGTCAAACCTAGAAAATGCTGTTTTTTACTGGAGGAATAAGAAATCCTATAGTGTTTGCTGCAATGTTTTGTGTCCAATTTTTTGAAAACCCTGATAATCTTTCTAGAATGATAACAAGTCTTGAGCATCAGAGAGCATTCTGCCCCTGATTTAATCACCTGAGCAGCTGTCTCTCTGACTAATTAACAGAACTCAGATCTTAAAATATTCAACCGTATGCAGTGAAATTTAGATCTAGTTAGATAATATAAAATTGTGGAAGATAAACTTGCTGGCAACTTCAAATTCCCATATTACAATGAAAATTTGTCTGTGGGATCAGTGTGCATGTCAACAAAAGACAAAGGTATAAAATGAAAATGTAATCAAAGCAATCGGAGAGACTAAGTGACTTCCTTTGGCATGCCACTCACATGTTAGAGTAAAAGGCCAATTTTTTGTGGCCGATCTGATTTGAAATATTTCAGCTGAAAAACTTGGAGATTTATGTTCACGCATGTAACTACTGACTTCTAAAGGCCTTTCTTCGATGTCGTTAGGGTTATATTGACATTACTCTGGTCTCTTGCTCACTTAGAAGATTCAAGTCTGGACTTCAGAATATTATTCTAAACTAACCATTTCTTTATTACTTCTTTCTACCATGCAGGAGACCCAAATGCAGAAACTACTAACTCCACAAAGGAAAGCCCCAGCTGAGTTTCAAACCAGGAACCCTCTGAGTTTGAGGTGATAGTGCTCCCCTTTTTAGTTTAACATCTTAGATTATGTTTTTTTCATTCTCACTTTGAAGAATATTATTAGAAAAATAAAACAGTGGTCATAACTGCCTTTTTCAGATCAAGCAGAGAAATACAATTGAGTCTAGGTGTAAATTGCATGTCTAAAAGAAATCTTTCTTTAGGTCTACATATGCAGAAGTGTCTGCAGTTAAGAGAGCGCTTGCAGAGCTGAATGAGCTTTTGCACCTGGCTGATTGGAAGGAAAATGACTCCAACATGAGAGTCGTTATTGGAAACAGTGGAAAGAATTACAAACCTCCTTCGGGAGGGTGATTCGACAAAGAGTGTTTCAAGAGATGCTGGTTGTTTTCAGCCTGTCATGTCTAAGATTTGGAACAAGTTCAAATTCAATGGAAAGGCTGTTAAAGGAAAACACTCATGTCAGTCAAGGAAGAGGTCTAACATCAAACTTCTGGAGCGAAAAAACTCTAAACAAGTTGCCTGAAAATAGGAAATGTACAACAAAAAATTAAAACAAACAGGGCAAGAATAGGAGTCCATGTTTGTGACAGAATGTAAGAAAGTACATCTAGAAAAGCCAGTAACACGTGTATAGAAACAGTGAGGTTAAAGTGGACGAGACAGTCATGGACTGTGGGTGAAAGCAATATTTATCACCAATATATTTGGCAAGAAGATGATATTATGGCTTTTGTTTGGTGTGGGTCCAATGAAACACATAAAGGTCACTGAGGAAAACATCCATATTTCCACTGATGATAAGAGGCAGACATCAGATGAGCAGATCCAAGGGAGATGGAAGCCACTACCCATCTACATTAAATGCACATGCGCAATTTGACTTAAAAAAAAAAGCTTTTCTCATTTCCTCAGTCATAAGACACACTTGGTGATGCTGAAGTCAACTTTCAGAATAACAATATACAATGATGCTTCGAAATAAAGAAAAATATCCTAGAATCTGATAAAAGAACTGAATAAAAATTGGCATTACATAGTACAGAGTAGATAGATTTTTGGTGGAGGATGAAAGGTTCTAGAGTTTCTGCTTCAATTGTCTGAGCTCATTCTCAGAAAACCCTGATCTAAGTTATATCTCTAGACGCCGACAAGTCTCAATTGACACCGGATTTAACAGCCAAAGCATCAGACTCTCTGAGAAGTTAACTGAACTCGGTGTGTAAAGTTATTGGAGCATGTGTTGTGAAAATGAACATTTCTGCTGGAATGTAAACTTCATCGAGGTGCTGACACCTTCAAATTCCCAAATTAGAGTGAGAGGATGCCTGTGGTATCAATGGGGATGTCGACAAGCAATGAGGGCATGAAATGTAAATGTAACTGAGTAAATAGCAAACAGAAACACACGTAATTAGCTTTTTTTCCTTTAGTATGCCGATCACATCTTTGAATAAAAGGCAAGTTCATTTAGAGGCTTGATTGAAACCTCCCACGCGGACATTTACCCGAAGCATCCAATTTGCAAACTTCACATAGTGTCCATTCTCTCAAATCAACATGTTCAATAATTAAAGAGTTAAAGGCTCTACTCTGTGTTACTGTGTGCCTTTGTGAAAGGGTAAACTTTGTTACAAACATCAATGGCAAAAGGGGAAAGTAAGCTGAGAGAAAGGGATTTCTATTTGTTTTTCCTTCATTCCTACGTATTGATCCTGAAAGCTTACATGTAAAGACTGATAGACACACACAAGGCTGGAGTGTGGATACCATTCAGTGTGAGGACATCACAGTCTGTGACCATTTCATCGAATCAGTGGTACAAAGCGCTCAGAGGAGCCGAACAGGAACAGCAATCAGATGGAGAGCAGCAGACAACCTCAGGCTATTTTCTGAGCGTTGCAATTCAAAAGGATAAGAACCACATAAACAGGTATCATCAGGCTTTTAGGTGCAGAGATTTTATGAAGACTACCTAAATCGAGAAATGTAACAGGTGTCTAAATGTCTAAAGGAAAAATAATTCATTATATATGTGAATAGCTAAACAATCTGAACCTCAGGGATTAGCAGCTACTGAGAAAGTAAGTACATTTATAACAAGGATCGCCAAAAGTCACTTTCTCATGGTAAATATTTTAGAAATATATCTATCATTATCATTCTCAAGGACAAAGTATAGCTGATAATGAGGTGAGAAAAGGTTGCTAAATACATTTGATGTGATGGAAATTGTTACCCCTCCCTGGAGAAGTCAACCCACACATTGTAGCTCACCAGGAAGATTTAGCAACCCCTCGTCTAAGAAATGTTCCTGTGTAACTGCGGTTAGCCGAAGATCACAGTAGCAGTATCAAAATGGACCTTTTGGCTGCCTGTGAACCAGGATAGCTTGCCATCATTATCTTAATGATCAGTTCTGCAGCTAGCTGTCTAGAATATTTGGGCGTCACACTGTGAACTGAATCTTATTAGACAGTTAATTGCATAGCACAACAAACCTAAGCATACAGGTTATATGTTAGACAATTAAAGAAGGTTTCAGAGGACAAGCTCAATGTGCCGGCCTCAATCTGATAGAAATGTTATGGAAGGACCTGAAGAGGGTTCATGTGAGGAGCACACTAACATTTCAGGGTTGAAGCCTTTCTGTGCAGATGAATAGGTAATATTGTGAAAAACGTTTACTAGACGCGGGAGGTTTTGCTGCGAAAAGGTGTCACACCAGGATTAACTTCCACACTGAAATAAATTATTTATTCTTGTCTCATGCTTTTAATTGGGGGGCAGCATGGTGGTGTAGTGGTTAGCACAGTAACCTCACACAAGAGGGTTCTCGGTTCAAGTTCAGAAGGGAAACAGGGACCTTTCTGTGTGGAGTTTGCATATTTTCCCTGTGTCTGTATGGGTTCTCTCCGGGTACTCCAACTTCCTCCCACCACCCCCCAGCCCCCCATTGCAAACTTTAATTAATCGCAATGACACTATTGTGCGAAAGCAAAGAAAACTATTAAACAGATGGGTGAACTAAAACCAAAAAGAAATTGTATGTGTGCCACTCTGTTAACCCTCCTTTTCATGCTCTACAGTCTGAAAGGATTCTCAGCCTTGACTGCTGACGACCTACCGCATGTGAAGGCCCGTAGGTGGTTCTCGTTATAGAAAGAATAGACTAAGGCCCTGTGGCAGTCTTTCCAAATCAATAACAGTAATCACCACTGCTGAGACAAAAAGAAAGATTCAAGGATGTCATAAGTGCTTCTGCTGTCTGAACTATAAAGTTGGGTGACTAGAAACAGTTCCAGGACAATACAGAGGAGACAAACTGTACAAAGCAGTCTTTTGTGTGGCTGAAATCCTTTCGTACCTTCTTGCTCTCCTTTTTGTGTCACATTTGAAGTTTTTTTTTTATGTGAACCCATTTCAAACATCACCTGGATTGTGAGGAGCTTCCACTGAAAACTTCAGTTAAAACTAAATGTTTCCAAAGACTCTGGCATATTTCAAAGTAACATGGACTTTTTACATATCAATTTGTTTTGACATAAAATTGACAGCATTGCCTATTACAGTAGTTCCTGAAGAAACAAGTGAAATCTTCTCATCACAGAAACACTGCATTTCCCCACTTATTAATTAGATTTGAAATAGATCCTGCTTAGAAATTATTTTAACACGAAAATGTAGCATGTAATCAACAATCAAGCTGTATAGAAAACGTTTTCATTCAC